GTTCTCACCTCGCCGCCTAGATTCGTCCCCCGGCCTCCCGCGCCTCGCGGGGTGTGTGATAGTCCAGCAGCGGCGGCCGGGTGGCGCCTCCAGTTGGAAATCCAGCTCCAGCTTTGCCAATTCTCTTGATCTAGTCCGCTTGGCCACGCCCCGGTTCTGCTCAGGCGCAGTCCTTAGGCCCCGCCTCCGATTTCTAATAGCGTCGAGCGGAACCTGAAGGACCTTGGTCTCCGACCGGAAGTTGGAGGGACGAGCCCAGCTCTGCGCTCACTAGAGCGCCGGAAGTTGTGTGTGGATGGTTGGGGTTTTTTTTCCTTCTCGGTTCGCTGTGGCTCTGCTTTCGGTTTAGAGGCTGCGGCGACGGGTTCCTGGTCCTCGCCGCTCCTGAGACAGCCAGGATGTCCGCGATCCCTGCAGAGGAAAGCGACCAGCTGCTGATCCGACCCCTGTAAGGGACGAGCTGGAGAGGGAACGAAGGCCCCGGATGGGTGTGAGCCTGGAGGGGTCGCCTCCTGCGCCTCCGGCCTCCCAGCCTCACGGGGTTTGGAGAATGTTGATCGAGGGGCCTTCTAGCTTCATTGTCATCTTACTTTTCCTTCGGTCTCAGAGGAGGCTATGTCTGCGTTGGAAAAAAATCCAGGTCACTGGGCGCTTTCATAATGAAAGGGTTGCCAGTTAGCACGAGTCTGGATCTAGCACATCAGGTCACGCCTTGAGGGAACCGGCAGGTGAAGGGAGACAGTGCAAGGAAGGGCTGCGTTTGTCTAATTATCTCTGGGACCCCACACGTGCTCGGATGGCCAGGGTAGTAAAGACGAGGCATGAGTGCGTACCTTCAGAGCTCAGACCTTAGCAGAGGGTGGAAGAAAATTGCAGAGGAGAAAGCAGAAGTGTCAATGGGAGAGATTCAGCGCTACGTTACCGTAGAAGACTGACTTTAGTGGAAATGGCTTTCAGCGTTCTGGAACGTTTGCAGAGAATTGCCTGGCTCGTGTAAAGGTGAAGATGGGCGGTTTGACGCCACACACGAGACTGGCTAGCACCACATGAAAGTGTGCGTTTTTCAGAAGATAGAAACTAGCTCCTTTACCCATTCATTCAGTAAGATTTACTAAGCACTTACCTTATGATTGCAATCAGGTGACCCTGCCTTCCCCCTATGTACAATAAGCAAGTATCAGATACCTCACAAGGCACGGGCAGAATTCATGATTTCACTTCTTTGGTGAAATTGTAGAGCAGATTGGGGAGTGTGCTGGAATGAGTCTGTAAAAACAGGAGACAGCTACTGTGCAGTCAGACCTGAAATCCAGTCTTTCTGTATGGTAGGAAAGTAGCCCCCATAAACCCACTTCCTCATGTGGAAACAACATACCTTGTGAGGAGGAAAGCTCACAGCTCAGTATATAATGCTCCTTTGATACCTGTTACAAGAGGGTAGGTAGGCATTGTCCCGAGGGCCAGAAAGCCTGGAGATGGAGCTTCCTAACAGGTTAAGGCAAGGATATCTTATGCATCCTGGGAATGTGATTGATGTGTTACCTAAGTGTTAAGGAATTCACAGAAACTAAAGACAGTGTAGGAGCCAGAGTGTCCCAGGGGACCATGAGAGTGGTCCCAGCTCATGGCCAGTTGACTGGGGTTAACAAATAGATGAATTGGGGCAGGCTATCAGGATCCACCTTGTGAAGGACCTTTTGTAGATATTAAAGAGTGTGAGTATTTGTCGCATCAGTTACAGTAAGCCAACAAGGGATTTGAAGCAACTCTAATACAGTGGGAGTTACATTAAGAATGTGGCTACTCCCCCCACCCCCTTTAAAAGCACTCAGTGGGCCTTTTGCTACTGACCCACTGAGCCGTCAAGAAGAGACAGAGTAAAATCGTCACTTTTGGGTGAAGTGGCAACATGTGTTGTTTGCTTCAATTGGTGTCGTGACAAGAAAAAAAAAAAAAAAAAAAAAAAAAAACTCCAGTGCAGTAGATAACTAAAAAGATGGACTAAGTGAAGAGACTCTGGGAAGATGTCACTGAACTGATCCAGTTCTGAGTGATGAGGGCCTGAAACCAGTAAGGTGAGGGCGATGGGCTAAGAAGAATTGGGTTTCCGGAGTTTAGACGTAGTCTTGAGGATTTTGTAACTGCTAGATGCTATCTGGGGAGACAGTCGTGGAGCACAGGGGGTACATTACAGACTCCTTGAGTAGCTAGTGCAGGAGGACAGAAGGTGCAGCTGGGAAAGACAGCTTATAAAGCTTCGCAGTTGAGTGTGTGCTTTGGGGTGTGGTTTTTGTTTGTTTGTTTGTTTTTTGGACATGGGGTCAGGCTATGTAGCCCACACTGGCCTGGAATGAATTCAGGGCAGTTCTCCTGCCTCAGTGTCCCCAGTGCTAGGATGACAGGATGTGCCATCATGATCAGCTTCGTTGATTTTTTAGCGTACTTGAGGAATTATAAAACCTTTATTACAACTGCAGTACCTAATTCCAGAACATTTTCATCACTCCCCCGCCCTTTAAAACAAACAAACAAAAAAAGCCCATTAGGAATTCACTTGTTTCTCCCCACCCTCCCTAACCCTCAGCAACCATCAATCTATTTTCCTTCTCTGTGGATTTCATATGAATGGAATCATACAATAATGAGCCTTTGTGCTTGGTTTCTTTCACTTAGCATAGCATTTCTAAGGCTAGATGTTTGGGAGTTTGACAAACATTTCAGATGCCATAGCAAAACAACAATGGACAAGATAGATGTGTCTCTTAATAGAGCTGCCATTTTAACATGTGAAGTACGCTGTAAATGAATGTATCTGTGTTACACCGTTGTGATTGGGATGGCAGATTGAGACTTGCACTAAAGGGTCCATGAGAGTAGGCAATCGAGAAAGGGTCTGAGAAGGTGAAACCTGAGCTAAGACCTAGATGATCTAAAAGAGACAATCCTTTCAGCAGCCAAGAGCCGAACGTTCCAGGAAGAAAGCCAGTCCAGGAGCTTGTGAAAACTGGCTTGCTATATTGAACACGCAGTACCTGGCAGATACCCCAGTAAGGAAACTTAAATGCCAGGTACATGTATCAGAGCTCTAGAATTCAGAACAGTCTGGGCTGTAGAAATGGACTCTGAAGTCATCAGCTTGTCAGACACTTGAGTGTAAAAACCGTGAAGTTGGGAAGGGGTCCCAGGAGACACTTCAGAATATTAGCATTCAGAGGCTAGAGAAAGCCAAGGCAGATGAGTGGAAAAAAATGAGAAAGTCAGCAAGACAGACCGGAGTGTGGAGTTAGAGAAGCTGGGAAGTGCTTGAAGGAGCTCTTAAACAATGGAGGCAATAGCTGACAAGGGAACCTGTTAGATTAAGTAGAGCTGCTTGCACTTAGCAGCGAGGACAATCTCGGAAAGGTAGCTGGGAACAGCTGGTGAATGGAGAGGAGGGGAGGGGAGGAAATGCAGACAGACAGGCTGTGGGGAAGCTGGCTTAAGAAGATTAAGAACCCAGGAATTTTAACTGGGGACAAAAATGACCATGGAATTTATTCATTTATTTATTTATTTGAAGCAGAGCCTCACTATGTATCCTTGGCTGTCCTGGAACTCTGTGGGCCAGCCAGACTGGCCTCAGATTCCCAGAACTCTACCCACCAGACAACTTTATCCTCTGTCTGCATCCTAAGTGCTGGGATTTCAGGAAAGTTCCACCACCCCCATTGTTTCTTATTCTCTTAATCTGTGGCTAGCCTGGAGTGGGTGGGTATGTATGAGTCCTCATTCCTTTTTGCTGCTAGACCACAAGGTCTTTGAGGTCTGGTCACTATATCAGGCGCATACCTGTCCTGGGCAGTTAGTACTGTGCATAAGTGGATTGTGAGCTAGATTTTTGGGAAACTTTATCCAAGAAGCTGTTATGTTTAGCTTAAGGTGTGCCAGAAAGGGAAGGGCTGAAACCATGAGTGACCAGGCTACTTGCTATGGTGGTCTTAAGATGCAAGGCTGTGACTTGGTGGCTTTATCTGAAACGGTTGCCCTAGAAGTGTTGTATGACTACTCATTTCCATCTTAAACATCCCTTAGCTCTCAAGGACTGCTTTTCATCCCTTCCTACCCCTGTACTCATCCTCTGTTTGAAACCGTGGAACTGTCATCTGTCTTGGGAATGTAAATGACTACTGCCATCACTGGGGGGCGGTTTAAGTTGTGAAAGGGTTTGAATTTATTATGTTGAGTGTTACTGAGGTGGAGTGAGAGACAGGCTCACTGAACACTGATTTACCCACTGTAGCCTCTTAATGCTGGCTTTTTAATCATTTTATTTCTCCCTTTGAATGTTTGCAGCGGTGCTGGGCAAGAAGTGGGAAGATCATGCATTATTCTGGAGTTCAAAGGAAGAAAAATCATGGTAAATATTATCAGTGGTATTATTGCTATTTGGTACTGGAAATTGGACTTAGACCTTGTGCATGCAAGCATGTATTCTACCACTGAATCATACCCCTAGCCTGGGTAGTGATTGCTTGCACAATCAAGAAAACACTGTAGCTCCGTCCGTACTGGCTATAATGAGCCAGTTATCTTTGCAGCACCAGCTGAGAGAGGTGTGCATGTATGTAGCCAACACTGTGTGCTAAAAGACTAACATACTTGTGCACCTTGTAAGCCTGTAAAACTGCCAGCTAGATCTGCCAGACTATCGTCTCTTCCACGTTCTTGTCCATTCCCGAAGTGTCTAGATAACCCGACAACCCCACCCCTTTGGGAAGACATCAAGGACTTATGTACCCTGAATGTATGTCAGCTTTGGCCACCCCACAAGTGGCATCAGTCCTGCTGGCTCTCTGTCAGGTCCGTCTCCTTGCCTGCAAGGAGGAGGGATCAGGAACACTGGTTCCTAAGGTACCAGGAAAGAGGCAGGCATGGGTTCTGTTCCTGTGTTCTCCTCTTTCTTCCTTCTGTCAGTCTTAAAAACAGGCATCTGTACCCAGAGTCATCTATTTAAAAATATAATCACTTATCTATATGGGTGTTTTACCTGTATGGATATTTGTGTGCTGTGTTTGTGCCTGGTGCCTGTGGAGGCCAGAGAGGTCATCGGATCCCTGGAAATGGAGCTTTGGATGGTTGTGAGCTGGGTGTGCAACCAGGTTTCGTGGAAGAGTAGCAACCAGT